GATGTGCAGCGCGCGGTCTGGTACGCATCATCACCTGTCTCAGTTTTGGGCTTGTTGACATACTGTTCCCAGGCGAGTTCGCAGGACTTGACAACACGAGTTTCATACGCTCCGTCTGCGAGACTCGGGCAGCTCAGAACAAGGTCACCCGGCGTCTCACCTGACTAGAGGCCTTGTTGGCCCGTGTGCAGGCTCGCGTCTACGAGGCACTCTCTGCCGATCTCAAATTGGGCAGACGTGTCGTCAAGGACAACCCGGTGGAGCAGGGATCCGATGGGATATCGGCACGTCACGACCCCGACAGCCTCGTCCTCGACATCACCTCGAGGGAGTCGTCGGAGGCGGTCGCATCCCAGCGCGAATCCGACAGCGTGATCGATGTCGACGCGATGTCTGACGTCCCCGTTGTCAAGACCAAGCCTCCGGTGGAGGAGTCTGACAGGGTTATCGCGATCAAGAAGGAGCCCGGGGTATCCGACCTCAAAGACGACGCACCTCTCGCCGGGCCTTCCAACGCTCCCCTTGCCGGGCCTTCCAACGCACCCCTCGCCGGGCTCTCCAACTCATCCCTCACCGGGCCTTCCAACACTCCCCTCGCCAAGCCTTCCAACGCTCCCCGCACCTCGAAGGTGCGGGCCAAGCAAGCGTTGTCTTCCACCTCCAAGGGGAAGGAAGCCGTTGCGAAGGTCACCCGGAAGCGTAAATTGGTAGGTCATTACCACCCAGTGAGGGTAGTGTACTCATTCTCCAACAGGCTGTTGACAATGGGGAGGACGCTACCTCCCCCAGCAAGCCCGCCAAGAAGTCGAAGTAGCATGGGGACGTATGGGTAATTCGAAGGGATAGATTGGCGTCGTTTGCAGAGTGATTGTAAGATCTTGATAACGTTGCAGCCCGGTCGCAGGGTACTTCGGTCGATTGTCCCACTCTGAAACCGTTTGTCGTCGTGATGGTGTTCGTGTGATTGTATGTAGCAAAGCGATATGATAGAGAATTCCGCTGACAGTCCTGTGTAAGCGTGCACAACGAAACAATGGTTGGCGACTGGCTTCACGACACAGTGGGCGAAAACCTCAATGGCGTGCTTCGTATTACAGACCAGTCTCGGAGTGGTCTCGGCCCGGCGCGCTTCTCCGATGAGATCTGGAGCCAGTACCCCGGTCCCTTCTCTTGACTTCACGGAATGTCTATCGTCCCTGTTCGCCGCAATTGCTGGTTGACTCGTCCTCCGTCCCTGTGCTGCGGCATGGCTGCGGTACCTCCATGGCGTATTTCAATCCTCCAACAATTGAGAACACTCACTCCCTCTCCCCCGCTCAGCATGCTGACATCCCCCAACACGAAAAAGGTTCGCCTGCAGGCCAACGCTAGTCCTTGCCTGCAGTGTGCATGGGCGGGAGTGGCGGACGAATGCCGCTACAAGCACAAGACTCAGAGCTGCGAGCGCTGCCTCGATTTGAAGAACGTCCTCCAGTGCAGCGGGGTCAAAGGTGATTTCTAGTGTTCTTCCTGTTATTTACTCTGACCTCGCTATAGGCCTCTACGCAGATCGTCCCGATCTTGACATGCCTACGCTGGTGCGCGACATCTACCAGTCCATGGGGCATTACAACACGAGCCTCAAGAGCGTCGACAAACGCCTCCAGGCCATCGAGAAAGCCCTCTTCACCACCGACGCCTCCCCAGATGCGGAGGGGAGTGCAGCCGAAGAAGACGAATTGGAGGGGGAAGGCGGCGATCACGACGGCGACGAGGTGCCAGAGGACGCATCGGGTTCCCAGGGCGAGGAGGTCGTGGAGATCGAGGAGGCGCAGGAGGTCGAGGAGGATGAGGAGGTCGAGGAGGCGCAGGAGGACGAGGAGGACGAGGAGGCGCAGGAGGATCAGGAGGACGAGGAGGTGAAGGAGGATCAGGAGGACGAGGAGGATGAGGAGGATGAGGAGGATGAGGAGGATGAGGAGTTCCAGCCCTCCTCGGACGAGAAGGACATCACAACCCGTATCGACCATCGGTACCTTGGCAAGATGATCGCGTCGAACATGTGGAGCAAGGTTGGGATCAGTGCGGGGAAGAAGGTCGCTGATAAGAAGGTCGCTGAGAAGAAGGCAGTCCAGCCTGCCAAGAAGGTGGTGAAGAAGACCCCCACCCCGAAAAACGCCAACATCAAGAGCGTAGGCACAGTAGCGGTCGTCATCAACCCCAAGGCCAAACCCGTGGACACCAAGGGTAAGGCCAAGGCCAACGACGTCAAGGTGAAGGCCGCAGATGTCAAGGGGAAGGGGAAGGCACTCCCTGCGGGTTCCTCCACGGACAGGCTTAAGAAGCGTAAACCGGTACGGCTCCTTCATCTGCTAGCGTGACGTTCGTCTCTGATTGGCTTCCGCAAGAGGCCGCTTCCAGCTCTTCACCCAAGAAGCCACGCAAGGACTAAACATCGCATGAAATCGGTACGTTCTTCCATTGCTATTAGTTGAGGTAGGCATCTACTCACCTAGTGGGTCCACTGACGTGTTTACAGCACCTCTCTCCCATACGTTCTTGTACCAGTTGACTCCAGCTTCCCCTGTCGTTGAGCCTATCTTGTAGTCCAAGTTGAATTCAGACGTTACTGCGCAGCATGGGGCGACAATTATCCATTAGCGTGATCACATTGACTGCCCTCAAGGGAGACTCACTCAGATTTCTTGGTTTTTGGGAGGGACCTTCACGTTGCGGCGACGTACTGTCCTGACCTCACGTCTGCATTCGCTTTGCCGAGCAGAGCTTATCAGGGCCCAGTGGGGTCGAGGGTGGACACCCGATCTCCAGTGTGGATGCTA